GGGGGACCCTCCGCGACAGCCCCGGGAGGACCTGGGAGGGGGCGACAGGGGTGGTGGCGGGCGCGTTCGCCACCGCCTGGCTCTGGTGAAGGAGAGAGCGGCCCTTGTGCTGCCTTCGCCTGGGGAAGGGGACGCCGGAATGGAAGTGTCGGAGGCACGCTTTGCTGCTGGGTGCGGTTCTTGGCATGCAGGCGGGCTGCTGAGTGCGCCTTAATGTCATCTTGGGAGCCTCACAGCGCTAGAGAGCCGTAACACAATGCTGGACCATGTTAACGTTTTGCCACTTTGCTTTTAAATTAAAGAAGGTGTGTTTTTGTAAGGCATTTTAGATTGAAAAGCCTACGTAAGTGTCCTTGCTGCCCGGACAGCTACGTTTCTTGATTCAAAGTGCAACTGAAATGAACTTTCACATTCTGTCCAGCCACAGTAAAGTATCCATAGTAGGAGACCTGTGTGGTCTTACAGTGGTACGTGTGAACTGTTCAGGAGCCACATTCTATCTGCCTTATTACAGTAGATTAATCTAACTACTTAGCTGGATTCTCTTGAATTAGCTGATTATTTCTTATTGCTGCTACATTAATACAGCCTTTTCCTTGTTTTGTTTTGTGGGGTTTTTTTTGGTATATAATGAAATAGGCCCATCTGCAGCCCTTTGTCAATTTGAGACTTAAAGAGAAGAGACACTTTTGGGCTGCATATTGTCATTAAATCTATAGGAACTTACTCAAATTTGATTGATGTTGAAAAGGAGGTAGGAATTGAGCATTGTGTTGAGGTGGCTGGAGCACATGGCATGTTGATTGGGAGAGACTGAGGAACAGAGGGTTTTTCCACCTAGAGAAGGTGATAAGGAGGTATCTAATTGCAGTCCTCAACTACGTGAAGGAAAGAGGAGTATACAGAAAACAGAGCCCCAGTTTTACCAGTGAGGAGAGGCAGGTGGCCTATGGGCACACATTTTCCCACTTGAAAAATACATTCCTGACAAGTGCAATGATTAACTGTTTCACAGATAGCAAAACAGTGTGTAAGAATTAACATAAGGCGCACCTCAGACTCTGAAAATCCAGCATTTCCTCCAGTTGATCATCCCCGTCTCCACCTCCACCCTTCCCCATATACTCTCATTGTGTATTTGCATTTGCCTCTTAAGTCCTGGATTTCTTTCTCCCCTAGTATGTTAATTTTTATGAACAAAACTGCTTTTCTGCCTGTCAGACAGCTGATTCAGCTGTGAGGCTGAATGCTTAACATAAATGTCAGAGTGAACATTC